CATCTTTCACCTCCGTCTCCCAAATGTAAGTCATTTCCGAGTCTTTCATGTCGCTCCCATCCACGTTTTCTGGTAGTTTTCATCCCATTCTGTCAAAATCTCCATGGCTTGTGACTCACAACCTTCCCCATCAGGAGTAGCACTGGCAGTGAAAGGTTAACCTGAACCCGACCCACGATGACAGCGTCCCCGCTACATGAATAAAATCCAGACGTTGAAAAGTCTGCAGCGCTAACTTGTGCAAACTAGAACTAATCACAGAGAAGCTTGTCGTTTCAGGCTGGGGGAAGAAAGAAAAATGACAGAAATGCAGCCAAGCACGTGGAACTCCCGGTCGCAGGAGCGCTGAAGCACAGGAAGCAAAAGCAATGGCGCCATAAATTAATAGCAAAACAAAACGAGCATAATTTTAATATGACCATCATAACCTTAATGGGTCGGTTCAGCCAATTATGAAATACAAATAGCAACATACTTTCTCACCTCCAGTTTCACTGGCGGTGTCTAGCCAAGCAGGCAGTTTTGATTTTATTCAGTAATTCGGTTCCAAACATTTACAGCAATGGAAAATATTTCAGAGAAAATGTCTGGAAAAATTGAAAGAAAGAAACAACGAGGAGGCTCAGACGCCAGTGGCGAGATAACACCAGAATCCTGAAAGAGCGAGGCAGAGCGAAGACGTAATGCGTTCAGATTGTCACCGACAGCCGTTCTATCAAAGAGGACTTCTGCTTTTAAACTTCTTAAATTGTTACGATGAAAACATGTTACCTGCCGCGGGGAAAGTATCCGGCTGTTTAGAGGAAGAGGCGAAGATTCGATATTCAGAGTTTCCTTTCTCTTATGTCCTCTCCTGTTAATCATCACATGGCTTCATTTATTATTTCGTAATTTCTGTTTTTAACGGTGAAAATATGAAATCTGAACTGTGGCTGGAAGCGACAGGGAAAATGTTGTTAGACATGCAGCTACAGAAAGTGACTCATCTTCAAGAAGAGAGGAGAAGCCAAAGGGAGAGAGCAAAAAACGAGTTTGCTGAATTCCCTTAAAGAGACATAGATAGGCCAGACCATATCTCACCTCTCATCTGCTTGGTCAAGGTACAGACAGGTGGAATGAGTCCAATATAGAGATATGAAATATTCAGCAACCAAAAGGCTTCTGTCTGTTCCACCGTTCCGGGCCTCCGAGGAGTCTGTGTGGCTGCAAGCACATGCATATACAGCGCGTGTCCTATATACATAAAAACGCAGAGGAATGCTGACAGGCACACGGAGTGAGGATGTGCACTCTGTTTTCAAAGTCTTAACGGTGTCAGTGACAGTTTTTCATAGCAGGCCTGCTGAAGCCGCGGCTCTCCGTCTTCCTCTGACTGAATATTACATTTGCAGATGACTGAAAGAGTCTTTGTCTTACAGAAAGACAAAGAGAGATGGACTCGGCATTAACCACGAACAGGAAACACAGAGGAAAGGAACCGTATCAGAGACAATGAAAGTGTCAAATAAAAGAGATATGATGAAAGGATAGATCGCGGCACCGAGTTCATCACGTCCGCTGAGACAAAGTGCAGCCTGAGCGTCGGTGGCAGCTGTCAGATAGACGCCGGCTCACATTCCCGCCATGTCGGCCCAGCAGTGCCCGGTCACTTCGCACCGGCGGAGCACGCCTCTGTCAGCTGAGCTCAGCTCGGCCATATTTCACGAAGGGATCAGATGTGGGACCAAAACGTGCCTCGGAGCTCGGAAATTCCTCAAAGGCAGGACCGGAAAACAGGACGGTACATCTTTATGTGGCGGCGCTCCAAGACCAGCAGATACTGCACGCTTTCATCTCCGTGTACATATGATAAATTCATAAATTAACATTCTCTGTCGAGACTGTGGCCAGAATCATGGACACGAGTTTTTAATGTGCCTTTCCTCATTATATAGCTCCGGCTGGGAGTTGCTTCCGAGGGGCAGCCAATCAGAAGAAATCTGTCTGAAAGGGAGGTCTTAAAGGCTTTAAAAGGAGAGTAAAAGTAGAGTATGTAATCTAATCAATAATCAATCAAAGTGTGAAAGCTGGTCGAGTAGAGTCCAATAATAAAAGCACGGAGCTGGGAATAACCATAACAGGTCCTTTTAATTGGATATGAATGAGTCATAACGACGGAAATGGCATCAAACTGCGAATTGTGCAAAGCTGCTCTAGTAGGATCCAATAATAACAACATGGAGCTGGAAACGAGGATAATCGGTCCCCTTAAATGGATACGAATGACTCATAATGACTGAAATGACTGTGTAAATATGAGCCCTTTATTTTGAAGAGGTATTTCTGGAATGCGTGACTTCAAAGAGAGAAAATCTTACATTGGTGAAGATTAATTGTTTTCATATGATCACTTGGCCTCTTTTGTCATGATCTCAAATAAGTTTCCTGCTTCAGTGTGCCACAACATTTAAGCACGATAGCCAACTGCAAGTTGTAAATGAGATCAACCACAGAGGACCAGCTAATGCACCGTCAGTCTGTGCTGCTCTAAGAAATCTATTTGCAGCAGCACCTTTAACATCAGCCAGTCTCAGCCTGACCCCGAGACCTCGCACGAAACCCGTAAACATAACATCAAAACCGGGATCCCAGACCGCAGCTTGTAAAACGCCCCATTAGCCAACTAATACACCCATGTGATTGTGTTCATCTCTCACCCACCAGCGTAGCACACCAGTAATGATCGAGAAGTTTTGCTTTTAATTAAGCCGTACAGTTGCTCAAGCTAAATCTCCACATGGTAGAAATTGTGCAATTTAATTAAAATGACCATTTTTCATCTAGTTTATAATTTTTATTAGTGCGAGAACCAAATGAATGTGAGCGCTTATTCTTCATTTGCAGGATTTTTTTCGCCCGTCAGATCTGCAGCGGACAACGATGGCTGTGCAGAGCAGCAGCTTTGATAAAGAACCAAGATGTTATTTTAATGTAAAGTACAAATACATTAAAATCTGTTTAAGGTTTCTTTGCTTGGATAGGCTGCCGGTCTGTCCAGATCATTATGCTTTTTGGCAATCACAAATGTGTTAATAACCAAAAAACCCCAGAGATTCTTTAATTAGTCTGTGTTTGATATAATACACCCTGCTATCTGTTTAGTAGGGGTGCAACAATACTCGTATCGGTATTGAACCGTTCGATACAGTGCTTTCGGTTCGGTACGCATATGTATCGAACAATCAACTTTTCTTCTGACGATGCTGTCTGTGTTGAGCGCTCAGGGGATCTGCGTTCTACTACTCTACCTAGGCTGCACTGTCGAGCACAGATCCACTGAGCGCAGCGCAAGCTAGCAATACAGAAGTTAAGCTCGTTGCAATATGGTCACTGCCTTAACGCTACCCGAAATTGAACCTCCCCCACCCTCATTCAGATCTGGCGTTTGGAACTATTTTGGTTTTCATGTGAAGCATGACCCTGATGGTAAGCGCGTCATGGACAAAAGTAAAGCAATGTCGGATGTGCCACGCAATGCTCAATTACATTGGTGGGAACTAGTGCGTTAGCGCAGCTAGCTTGTTAATGTGTTGACGCCGTCCAGCCCCACGCACGGGGCGATCCGCGGTAACTCGTTAAGGGAGATTTGTGGCGTTATGCTGTTAATGTCATTTTAACGAGATTAACACTGACAGCATTAGTGGGAACACAACGAATATGACTGCACATTTACGTTGACATGATCCTTGTGCAAAGACAAGTGGAAGCAGACAAAAACCACAAGCACGCATGCTACAAACTTTACCCGAGTCATTTAGACAGCCGTTAGCACATAATTCTCCTTATGGGGACCTGATACGTTTAATATGCTGCTGAGAATATAGAAGAAGCGTATAGTATAGCTTTTATTTTGGAAAGAGCCATTTCTCTGTAATAAACTCTCTTTTCCAAAGATGAGTGATTTCTGGATCAGATAGATTTTTTTATTTTATTATTTTGTTGTTTCAGCAGCATTAAATTTAAAAACTGTACTTTTGAGTTAAAATATATATTTATAATTTTATTAAATGAAAAACTAAAAAGGCATGAACATTTTTTTGTATCGAAAAAGTATCGAACTGAACCGAACCGTGAATTTTGTGTATCGTTGCAGGTATGTGACCACTACTTTGACTAGGGTCCTCCACAGGTTCTGTAAGTCGCACACTTGGGCTTGGTGAAGTCAAAATCTGAAGGCTAACTTTGTTCCGTCATCAGCTCCAGAGGAAGTCGCCCGCAGCTTGGCGGTCAGAGGACCTGACGTGAGAGAGCAGCATCAAACGGAGGGGCCATCTGAAACAGGATTAGAGTTGTACGCAGGTTCTGATTATGAAATATTTATCTGTTCTTCTCTCAGGGAGCACAGCACATGAACTCCGGGAACTTTCAGAAGCAAAGGATTAATTTGCACGCACTGAAATTAGCACATAGATCAAAGCGAGGGGTGCCACGGGAGTATCCGAAACCTCAGTGTATCTAGAGTAGAGATTGTGCTTTGCTGGTTACCAAATCTATTTTCATAATGATATGGATAGAGGGGGGGAAAAAAAAGAGGACATCAAGGGGAATCCAAGCTGGAGTTGAGTATAATTAACCACATGTATATGGAACAAAACCTACCAGACCAAAGCAAAGACAGCATACAAAGGAGGACAGAGTAAACAGAGAGAAGAACAAAATTAGCTAAAACAGACACTGTAATTTTCTAACCAGCTCTCAGGCCTTCGTGTAGGATCGGAGCGATAAGCCTGGGGAGGAGTTAGATACGGCCGACCGCCGAGGTGGACTGAGACGTATTGTGGGTTTATTTGAGGATGTCTTCTGTGTAAACTGAAACCACCCGGCTCTTTCTCTCTTTTACTGTGTTGTTGTTTACTTCGAACATACCGAGCTTATGTAAGGCCTGCCAAAGACAGTAGAGCTATTTGTTTGAACGTTTGCAGAGCAACACAAATACACAGAGCCACAATCGCTCCTCTTACCGTCACAGTCGCCCAAGTGGTCCACGTTTCCATGTTCAACATCTTGCTCAAAAGGCAGTCTGCGGAGGAGAGGAGACACGGCCATTAATCAGGTGACACGGAGGCACGGCGACTCGGCCGCTGAGCCCACAGCGGAGATCCGTTCTGACACGGGAGCACTACCTCAGTGTTACATCTCGACGAGCTCCTCGCACTTAAGAAATCTCATTTTTTTGTTAGGCTGGCGAGAAAAATGAAGTGAAGAAGCCCTCGAGCTGCCTAATATCCCACAATAATCTTCATTATAATTTCAAAATACCACTCATGCCAGCAGCATCAATAATTAAACTAATTAATGCAATGAATTACAAATATTTCTAGGTCAGCAAAGGACTTCATATTAGAGATATTTGCTGTAGATATAAACTCCAAACTGTTGGAGTGCAAAGTGCTAAAGAGGTGGAACAGTCCAACACCATGTGTTTCGCTCATTAATATGCAGATTAGGGTGAGGACGTGCCATAATCATAGCATCCTACCACTTTTTACACATTTATGATCAGTGAAATATTCAGCAAAACCTCAAACTGTACTGTACTGATTTCAGAATCAGAATCAGAAACTTTATTGTCATTGTCATGAGAACAACGAAATTAAGAATGGTCCCCGATCATTGCATCATCCCTAGCAATATCAAAATATAAATAAAACAATAAAATTCAATAAATAAAATAGATAGAATACTTAAAATACTAATAAGATATAACAGTAAAACATTCACATACATTCCCACACACATGCTTCAGACCGTGCATAGATTAACACAAGAGTGGCGTGATGGACATTTTTTTGTGGAAAACTATGACATATTGTATTTATACAAGTCATTTCCCTTTTGGTCCAAAGGGGAGCATGAAAACCTCAACAGACAATAACATAGAGTATGATGAAGAGAGGAAGTGGAGAGGAAATGAGAACGGCTCACAGGCCAGGTGCACACCGAGACAAACACAAGTGCTTCTGATTATGGCTCGTGTCGAGGGGGAAGCTGCAACGGACGCAGCGAGAACGTTTATGTAGGTGTGTGAGCGCATGCAAGAGCGTGCCTGCAGGCTCCATGCGTTTCAGAACTCAGTTATAATGGGCTTCATGTGACTGGAAAGACCTCTAGTTAAGTGATTTAAGTATCATATAGGGGAAAGTGCACTTTTGCCCCTTTTCAACAGCACAGCTCTGGAAGAGAAATGCATAAAAAACACACGAAATCACTAAAAAAACAGATCATTTTCATTCTGAATGATGCGTGCATGCATATGTTTCTTTATTTTTCCTTGGTCATGTGTAAATTAGCGTGCAAAAGTCTTGAGCTGACCCGCATTTCTTTATATTTCACAGGAAAATAAAAAATAGGTGCGGCGATTTATCGAAACATGAAAAAATTATGAGAAATACAGTATTTAAAGCAAAAATAGAAATGGAAAATTTTAGTTATGATCACCTTTATTCAGTCTGAGCTCTCTGAGCAGCTCTCTGTCATCTCTGTGAGGATCTTCAGGGATAATTCTCCAGGCTTTTTTAAGGATATTTAAAGATCTTTGGACGTTTTTGCATTTTTTTTTCTCTTCTCTGTTAAAAAAATCTGAATCCATCAGTCATTTTTTTTCCGTTTGCCTTCCACTGTGACCATTTCTGATGAGGCTTCAGTGAACAGTACATGGATTATCTATCAGGTCCTGTGTCAGGTCTTGTTTCTTATGGACACGATTTTCAGATGCTATTCATTTCCCGCAGGTAGTTTTTTAGGCCGTTTGTCCTCCACGTCTCCACTTACTTCAATTTTTTAAGGACACACTGCACACTGTGCTAAAATGTGCATCACGTTTCAGCCCTTTTTGGTGCAAAAATATGATTCTCTGTCTGTTAAACTGTGTGATCTTTGACATTTTTGTAGATTCAAGTAAAGAAACGAGAACTAATGATAGTAACTGGCTGCCGCTGTCATTTTTGAAACTTACAAGAAAATCTGGAAGTTTGCAGTAATGAATACTGTAAAGTTTTGTCTGTTTTAGCATCAGCTATACACTCATCAGCTTCACGCTCTGTAGTGGAGCTATGTTAAACTGCACAGTTCCTATTAAATAACTCACTATTTAATTTAATTTTACTGTAAAGTAAAAATGCCAAAAACCACTGAATTTTTTTTTTTTTTTTTTTTTTGGCTTGAAATGTGTTCACACTGGCAACAGCTACTTTTCTCAGCAGTTATATTTAAATGGGCTTATTATGTCTAAACTGTGCTCATATTAACTATTAACCAGTTTTAAATGATGAGATCAGCATATGTGCGTGCAATCCTCACGAGTCGAAGCTCAGACTGCTTCAAATATTTTTCTGCTCTTTGCTCTGTTTGTATTAAAGAGAGAGAATATTTCCAATAGGACCATCTCAGGCAAACAGCTCTGGCTGACAACCTGCACTCAAAAACCTTCTGTTTATGAGGGGCAGTTAGGGATGAGCTGCTCCCAGTCCCCGCCCGAGACAAATGCTGATCATTTCACAGTGCGACTCATGAAAAGCTGCTCTAGCAGAGTCCAAGAATGAATATAAAGCTTGAAATGAGAATAACAGATCCCCTTTAAAGTTTGTCGGTCCTGCTTAGAGATGAGTGAGAAGATCAATAACGCTCTCTTACAACAGTAAATATGAAGCTTTAGCCAGCATGCCATTAGCTTAACAGTCTGCATGGTGGCACTGCCCAGAGTGATCCTTAAGGTTGTGTGCTTAAACAGTTTCCTGGCCTCAGATCAAAGAAAGCTGGTGCAAGAGAGTAAATAACAATATTTTCCCCAGATGTTAAACTTATTAACAACTTATTAACATCAATGCCATATTCTTACAATCCAACACCAATGCGTGACCTAATGTGATCAGCTGAGCCTTAAATGTCACCATATAAGTATAAGTGAGCATTTAGCAGGGGCTCAGTTGATTGGATGCACGCCTTCTGTACGTTACCACAAAGATGTGCACGTTTGTAGCAATCACTCTCACATACGCTGTTTCATGGCACTGCAGCTACATCTGACATGTCAGAGCACTGACTGTGCATGAAAGCTGAACTTGGCTTGAGAAGTCAGCATTGTGTAATTAGCTAAAGGGTCAAGCAGCAGCAAACATTTTTGCTTTTAAAGCCTAAAAAAACTGTGACAAATGAGTCCAAGTGTGCTGTGAACCTGCAGCGGTGCCATCCTAATAAAGAGTAATGTTATGTGCTCAGTTGGCTGCGTCTCCCAATCGGCGGGTTGTTCACTTTGTATACATTAGACGTGTCTGTGGCTCTGTGTGCGTGCCCACTTCTTACTGTTGCTTTTTCATTTTCAGTGTTTCTTTTCTTGTATATTCTCACGGGTACTTTGGATCATTGTTTAAAGACTTCATACAGTAACTAAAGAGAAAGTAATAAAGACCACAGTGTGGACCCTGTTACAGCACAGCTTCCCAGTAAGGGTTAGTGGAAGTAGTTCTAACCATCATTTCTGGATATTTTGATTCAAGAAGCTGCTGTTCTTCATAAAGTTGTATTGAGCAGTAGTTCTTCAGATATTATGAAGTTCTTTCGGTTGCTTTTTCACTTATTTTCAGTCCAGTCCTTGTTCCTGAGGATCTTTTTTGACCTTTGAAGCATTCAAGCAGAGAAAAGGCACCGAGCTCAAGGACTGATCCAGTGTTTTGTCCTCACATAAGAGACGACTTAGCAAAGAATCAATTTGTTCCAGTTTTTTTTGTTGAATCTACAAAAATGCCTAAGATCACACAGTTTGACAGGGATAATTCCCAAAGAGCTGCTGGCATATCTCGGCATGTGTGGACAGAATTTGAAAGTCATGTCCTTAAAGAGGGGGGGAGGGGGGATCCAGCAAAGACCTGACACAGGACCTGAGAGATGATCTAGACTTCCAGCTGATCGTCTACTGTTCACCGAAGCCTCATCAGACATTAATAAAGTGAAACAGGAAGAAAGACTGAGGTATGATCGCAAACACACTGACACTGCAGTGAAATCATGGCTGGATTAGAACCCACAGTGGAAGCCCACAGATTGGCCTCCCCATCCAGCCAGAGACCAGAACCAAAGGCAGAAACATCCAAAGAAGAGCTTTGAATGTCCTTCAAGAAGCCTGGAGAACGATTCCTGAAGATCCTCACGGAGCTGCTTAGACAGGATAAAGCTGCTCACACCAAACATCGACTATAGTTGGATTTATGTGTATGTGTGTTTCAGTAAATCCCTGCACACGTTTTTACTGTACCACATAAAGATTATGGGTTAACTTCCCCTAATTTTTTATTATTTAATAACCATGCTTTGATATCCTGAATGTGCCAGTTAAAAATGCCCCCACCCCCCCGACACACACTGTTTCTGTAAGTGTTTTGTTACCAAATATTTTCCTTTTTTTTTTTAGAAACAATGTCGATTAATTAATTTTGAACGTGATTTCTTTTCTAACCTCCTATGGGCTTTTTTAATTTCACCTGCACTATCCGCTTTTCATTTTGTTGTTATTACGCTGCTTTGCTTTTATTGATGCTTCATTGTGCAAATAATTAAGACAGACGTATAAAAACTGGTCGGTGGTAATCACGAGTGGACACTTGATGTATTTTGAAAATGTTGGTCGGTACAACTGACAAAAGACTAAATTGGTGGCTTACGGGAAAACAAAATATTGAAGTGTCACAAAATTCTTGTTGGCAGAAGCAAATCCTGATGGCTCTACCTTTATTTAAACTACAAAACCGCTCTCCCGCAGAAACTGCATCTAACAACACAAGCTGCTGAGCTCTCCTCTCGCACCGGTTTGGAAAGAGAGGTTGCATTATTCCACAAAGAGGAAATCCACGGTAACTCAATGCAGAATCGATTGCCGAGTCGACCGCCCTTGTTAAATCAAATCAAGACCAACATAGAGGCCTATAACAGTATAAGCAGGCAGCCCGGGGTGGTCTTTAAGGCCTGTGTTGCCTGTTCGGCTGGCACTACACCTGTGTTTGAAAGCCTAATTCAATAAGCAGCTTGACTAAAGAGAAATCTGATTTCTCTGGAAGGAAACAGCCACAACTGGAGGTGAGCTGTCAAGAGAGGCCGCTGCACTTCACACACACACACATTCATGTAGACAACGCTCTGTGTGCGTGTGTTACGCAGAAAACAGAGAAACATGCAAAAACATCGAATCCAGCTAAACACGTACACATTTTACGAGCGCCGCAATAAATGTGACGCTGTCACGTACGTGGAGAGGTTACTCCGAGGGCACAGATGTCACTTATAAATATAAATCATTGCAAATAAAACCCAGCCACTTCCACACTTAAGAAAAAAACGCATGGTCTCCATGGGTGGTCTGCTGTCAGAAAAGTAACCTTGAGAAGTGATAAAAGTTCAAAGAAATTCAAAGGAAAACAAGTTGGATCAAAGCAGCAGCTCAGAGAAAAACTGCAGGAAAAGCACACACAGAGCTTCAGAGCGACATAAAGAAAGAATTTTTGAAACAGTGTGTCAAAGAATTTGTTTTAAATATAAGAGTGAGCAGTGTATGATGTGGTGTTGTAAATACACGAAAAAACGAAAGAAGGATGCCGTACCTGGTTCCAGGTCTGAGGAAAGAGCAGGTGCTTCCTCTGGTCCAGCCACAGTAAGGGTCCCTGGAGGCGATGCAGTTCCTGCAGAGGAGAGGAAACAAATTATTTGACTGCCTGGACCCTGAAAAGGTTCCCAGTTCTACTTTGGTGCCCGTAAGTGCACAGTGTGCAGCTGCCGCCTTAAATCGGTCTCTGGGTCAAAACAGCAACTAAACACAGAGACTGATGATGTCATGAAGCAGCTGATAACAATCTATTCAATGTGGCTCCCGGGAAATCACACTGGTGAGGTAATGCGTTACAGTTTTATTCATATTAGCTGTGAATGTTTATGTTAGCTCAGAAAAACAGCCACAGATGACATGATTTTAACAATGATGCAAACTGAAACACCTGCACAGGCAACGTAGCTAACAGTCCACTGTCAGAGAAACTAGAGGGGAGCAAAGAGGAGTCTGTAATACAGCACGCTGTTAGAAGGAATACATTCAATAAAAAGAAATCTGTGCGTTTGGATATTTCATTGATGTTACAAATTTAACTCTTACTCAGAGTAACCCATGTTTCTCTCTTCTGATCCAAGTAGTTTCTGTCATATTTCAGGTCTGTCATTAAACAAAATAACTGGGTGTGCATCGCAAGTTAGTGATGTTGGTCTCTGAGTATGCAGCTACCTTTGGAAAAGGGTACAGGGGAGGTCATCAAACGCTGTCTATTTGGGGGAAGCGTTAAGGAAGCTTGGCTGCTAGATTTGCAGATTGTGACTATAGCTGCAGTTAACTGACTTTCATTAGCCATCACCCTGCTTATCTTTCTGGTGGTGTGCTCATGGATTAGACCAGCGGTCCCCAACCTTTTTTGCGCCACGGACCGGTTTATGCCCGACAATATTTTCACAGACCGGCCTTTAAGGTGTCACGGATAAATACAACAAAATAAAACTAGTACTGGTACCGAAAAAAGGAAGATTTATTCATAACACACGTGAAAAGACCCAGGAACACAGAGTTAACGATCAAAACGATAACCCGGTACCAAACGACTCACGGACTGGTACCGGTCCGAGGCCCGGGGATTGGGGACCGCTGGATTAGACCATACTAGACCAACTAAAAACTCCTTGTCATAAAATATCTCCTGATTACTTTTTCCTTAACTGAATCCACTAAAAACAAATACTGATAATTAGGAGTGATGGTGTGAATTTTTTAGATGGATTTCCATCTCCTTGAAAGTCACTGACCTTCAACTTTTACAGCCTGCAAAACATGTTTGATGCTGTTCAGTGCAGTGAATATTTTGTCATTTTTGAGAAAAATCAATAGAGGGCAAGCTAATAACAGAGCTGTGAGGAGGGGCGGGCACTTAAAAAACACTTCCTGAAAGACTGAAACTGAATTCTTGATGTTTAACTTGGTGACAGTTTGATAAACGGTCAAAATAAGTCTTTCGTAAAGGTTCTGATCATGGAGCTGAATGCTGTGCAAAGGGACCTTAATTTAAGACTTCTTAGGAGACTGTGGGAGTCTCAGCAGAGATCTGAGCTTTTCAACAGCAACCTTCACCAAAACGGATTCTCAGCATCAGCACTGCCTGAGGTTTTTCATCTAAATTTGACTTTCGAAAACATGAGTCACAAATTAGATATGTTAACACTATCACTCACTTCATATTTTTACTAATTCTCTTCAAGGTAAAGTCAGCCAAAATATTCCGGTACACTTCAAATTCATTCTGTGTGTTCACAGAAAAAAAGTCCTGGCTCTCTCAATGGGAACAAAACAAAGTGGCTTGGACCGGCCCACATGTTACTACTCCAGCCAACCAGCCGCAGGGGAAGTTATTCCATGTGCACAGACTGCATGTGCAGGACATCACTGTGAATCCCTGCACATTTCCAGACAAGAAAACAGCCGATGAATAACCACAGAGAGGAAAAAGTGTTTGTGCACATGCTTTGGTTCATTTGTGGGCATGTTTTCGGTCTTGTCCGTAATTAGGCGAACGTAGAGAAAGCCAGCACAAGAGCCAGATGTGAGGCAAGCTTGCAGGAACTGTTTACAAAGCATATGTAGTAAAAATGTGACTTTCAAATATTTTTTCTCTATAAAGCTGCTGACCAGCTCCAGCTCACCGGGACGTTTTGCAGTGGTTGGCAGGAGGTCACATTAGTTGCTGGCTTTGGTTACGGTGGGGAACAAGAGGCACCTTTAATGGTTCCCCTGTGAAAACCTTCTAAAAATCTAAACAACTAACTTGGTGCTTTTTCCTCTCTTGCACTTTGAACGGCGTGTTTGTGTGTTTTAGCTATGACAAAAAGAAGTCAACATTCAAAGTCTGGAACATTTCTCCTTGGGTCAGCTAACTCAGTTGCTAAATGTCGTTGTCCTAGCAATGCACACCCATGAATTTGGAGCAGTGAAGGGAGGAGTGTGTTTATTTGGCTGTTAAGTTCAAATGTCAAACTTTCTGAAAAATTGCTTACTCCATCTCTAAGAATAAAATGGCATGTCCTTGAGTGCAGCAACAAATCTCCCCTGTTCACAGCTCCACTGATAATGTAATGCTGACAAAACCACAAACGCCACAGACTGCCAAAAAAGTGTCCCAAAGACTGCAAGTTTTAAACAAAACTGGTGTCAATAGCACTAAACATAAGAGTATTCATCTAAACCACATATTTAGAGATATCTAAATATATATATGTCTGGTAATTTTTTGCTTTTTTGGTGGAATGATTGCACAGCATATATCTTTAATGGCTTTTTTATTTTAAAAAAAGTCTGAATTGCTTTCAGATGTCTCTAATTCACACAAGCTCAACGTTATGGCCAATGGCTCAACATTATCTTTTAACTTGACAAGGCCTAGGCCAATTACGTTTTTGACTAGAGGTGATAGTTTCTCTTTGCAGCGTTATTAAGAGAATTTGTTTGACAGCACTCATTGGACTGACCAAAACTCAGAACCATGGGAAAGTCCAAAGAATTTAGTGAAGATCTCAGAGGGAGGATTGGACTACCTCCTATCAGCAGCTAGATGACTGAAACACAGTCAGGTGTTCCAACTGGACATTGATCCCAAAAACACATCAGAGCTGGTTGGGGAGTGGATAAAGCAGGCTAACATTAAGCTTCTGGAATGGCCTTTCCCAAAGCTAATGAAATTAGAGGACGGCTCTTAGAAGCCGGGTCTGTGCCAGGAAACCATCTGATTTGGAGAACTTTACCAATTCTGCCAAGAAAAATCGTCAAATATCAGCCAGAATCATGGCAGAAGCTGACGGCGACTAAAGGCGTCTTCAAGGGGAAACTTACTAAGGTGTATTTAGACAAATATTATAGGTACAGCTATATCTGCTGCACCAAACCAGCTGGCAGTCTTTCTTTTTACCAAACTACCAGCACAGTAACAGCAAAGGTGCAAAAGTTAAGGACAGATGGTGTAAAAGATGGGCGTAGGTTTAGAGTCTGCAAAATGAAGCAAGCATAAAATGTCTTTTAAACCTTAAGACTGTCTTCTTTCTAATGACCAGCAGGGGAAGACTCTGCATGCACCTTTAATGATATTCTGCACCAGAGCTTAATGAGCCAGAGTTAAACAACATCAAAAGATCCAGCTGTACGCTCGGCACACAGCATAAAGCCGAGCTGTTACTATGAAATACTGAAGATTTTATTTAAAAATGCAAGCATATCAAACAGGATTAAAGTCAGGTGGAAAGGAATCTGCACATCAACTGTCATCGCACTGAACCAAATTCAAAGTGCTCAAAAATATTCTTCAAAGGTTAAAAAAAATAGACTTGAAGCCAGCGAAGCATGACTAAGAAATATTTAACCTATTTGCACACAGAAAATTAACTCTCATACACACATCGAAAATAAAAGTGCACACGCCATACACACCTCAGAAAGCATGCGAGTGCTTTCTTAATGTGCATTACACGCTTGTACGACTCACCTGGTTCAGTGAACACAACTGCACGCCTCATGTACCAGAGTGTGTACCAGTCTGTGTTACTGTGTCAGTGGACTCTGAAGGGCCACAGCCACGGGCAACTAGACTGAAGTGTGATTCTCTCCAGTGTGCAGACTGTGTGGGTGTGTGCAGGTGAAACAGCCTTGCTTTGAATAAATCTTTATGTTTAATTGCAGCACAGCCAGGCTTCCAGAAATGTAGTGATGAACAGAGTGATCAGGAGGGTTGGGTGCTAAGTTACTAGCTAAAGAGTAACGAGCTTGCTGTACAAGGATCATCTGTACACTGTATGGATTCACAACTACTAAATAGTGCTGAAACAGAACAAAAATTAAGCTTTAATTTTACTCATTGAAAGCCAGACTGAGCACAGATTTTTTTTAGATGATCTGTGAGCACAATTAACAGCAAAGCAAGCATTTAAAATGCTCCAAACAGCACCAAGAGCAGTCGCTAACTCACATTAGCTGAGGTGATGACTGCAGCTACCGTATCTGGCACTTCTCTTTTCCTTTTTCCTCTTTGCTTCAAAGATGGGGACCAGGTCTGCAACCGCTCGCAGTGAGTTTTTGTGTTCAAAGCGCATTTGTGTGGCTATAAGACGCTAACTCAGTCTGCTATCAGTTTGCAATACAGTGGAGTCAAGTTGGCAATTACATGCATCGCAATCAACTGCGATAAATCAGTGCAAATCTCAAATCTGTTGATGTCTGCAAACACAGAACTTTGCATTAACTAACATTCAGAGTCGACCCAAAACCTCACAGATGTTGAGGAAATTCACAAAGGTAGTTGCTGCAGGATGCTGATATATGACACGGGCGACTTTGCTTTAATAAAACCAGAATACAAGCAGTTTGCTGAGAGCTGAGTCGAGTTCCTTACTGCGAAGACACACACTTTTGATCTGCACTTTTGCCTCCCATCACCTTGTGATCTCGGTTGGTTGCCAAGAGGTTGAGGGTGTTGCTCACTCAAGTTGGTCACTGCAAGGACATTTCGATCTGGACTTTTTGGAGCTGGCCTTTTGGGATTTGTGGAAGTATTTGGTCGTTGGGTTTCGGAAGTGTTTGCCGCGTAAGGTTCGCTTTTCTGCTCCGTTTCTGCTCAACTGCAGGACTCGTTCACATCATTACTACTCTGCTATCAAGTTAAAATATCATGTATTGCATTATCAGCAATTATTATTACTGGAAAGTAAAATTATGCTGCACACGACAGAGTAAAACAAAAATAATACACCGCTATTTTAATTGAATTTATTACATTAAAAGCTTCCACTTGATTTTATGCCAACTTATTCACCTATTTTATTAAAGTTTGACTTGTTTTTACTGTGCTGCATTTAACAGATTGCCATCTCGCTCAAGAGCAAAGCGGCAGATGTTATAAGTTGTAATATTGTGTTATTATTGCAGCAAAGACGGGTCTGCTACAGCTGCAGCTGGAAGAAGGACACTTGTGAAGGCCAGATGGTTCCTCGAGGGTCACCTAACATCTCATCTTTGCCCCGCTGCCCTTCTTTGCTATTGTGTGAACGTTTTTTTGTCGGAGGCTTACTTCATGCATCGGGAATAAAGCTGGCATCGTGCCACTGGTACTCTGACCACACAGGACGGGAAGGCGAGGAGCAGAGTGTGGCTCATCCGGTCTAGAGTCAGGGACAACAGCTGCCTGGCCTGCAGAGAGTCCTCAGCACACCTGCAACGAGCACACACACAGATGCAAATACACATAAAAAAAATATTTTTTAGAATTACACAATTTCAATTACCAGACCGAGGCAGCACATTAAACCTATGACCCCACTCTTAGCTTTACAGCTGGAAAAAAAACTCCCTAATGACCAAATATGAAACACAGCCAAACATAAACAGCTTTATAAATAAAAGCCATAATAAAAAAGTAATTGATTAGAGAGACCATGCGTGTAGATGTTACAGTATCAACCCAAAAATCCACGGCGCTGATTATAGAAGTTCGAGGGGTCGGCTGACCATCAAATCCAGCACCAGGAGCTGAATCTCATCTAATTGGCACTTAGAGCTGCGATAGCTGGCACCGACCTGCCTTCACGCAGCTGATTTATACCTTTTTATGCACATGTGCACTCATGCATGAGTTGTATCTGGATGGTTTATGGTAATAGCATTGCAGCGGGCCCACAGTCATTAAGAAGAATCTATCATTCTGCTAAGGCCAAGCTGTGAGTCAATTCTTCACAGCCAATATCACAAAAGGCGGGGAGGGGGAGGCAGTGAAGGTGAAGAAAAGATCACGTAGCTAACAAATGTAGGAATAAGGCAAAAAAAAAAAAAGAGTCTGGTAAAGAGAAAATGAAAGACATTCGGTGATTTTAGGTGATTGCTTGGTTCACTGTGGAAGCCGACCTATCACAGGTCAGTGTTTTTTTTCTGTGATGACTTCTTAAGTGAGAACTATGTTAGCTGCCCTGTTTCTGTGTGACCTGTTTTGTCTGTGGATATAAGGTGAGTCTGCGGTCTGCAGAAAAAAATGATGTGATAGTGCTCCATCTCCTGATTAGCTGGATCCCTGCTGTGAAAGCCCGGAAAGCTCACCTCACCGCGCGGACCAAATTACTCCAGTCCACATAAGCTTATTCACAGGACCCTCTCATTTCACTTGCCATCATCTCTGTCCCCCACTTTGTCACATCTGACAGAAATTGGTGTTTGGGGGCAGATGGAAAAAGAAAAGAGAGTGGTAGATACATGAATAACAAGTGAAACCGTGTGAGGAGATGGGATTGTGTTGCCAGTCTGTTGGTTGAAGGAATAATACTTTGTTTCCACAGGGGAAAAAAATGGCATATATCAGTGAGCACAATTAGCTAAAACAGAAAGCTCGTGTTTAGAAACATGTACTTTGTTTTTTTAATGACTCTAATTAGCCTCGGTAAAAGATAATCACCAGCCAAAGCTGCGTGCATCTGTGAGGCAACCCCCCCTTCCAGCCCGGAGTCATCCACCATCTCAACAAAGAACAAAAAGAAGACTGAAAGGCTATTGTACCCTGTGTTCATTACGTAATGATGGGCATTCAGAGGAGCCTCAAAGCTGCGCGCCTCGTGCAAAATGCTAATTAGAACGGATCAAGAAGCCCAATCTACTCCGATCTTCTGCCAAGATCCAGATATTAAACGTGATTCAGCTGCAGTCTGAAGATAAGGGGTCAATTTTCCTGACAATCTGGAACTTTGGTCAAGATTAAAGATAGTGTGATTTTATCATCGTTTCATTACTCATGTTTTCTCACTAATGCTGCTCTTCTCAGGCTCGTTAGAACATGTTGAGATTTCTCGATAATGAACATTAACCGCTTTTCTTTTCTGTTTGCATAATTCCTATTCTTTGCAGGCCGTTTCATCTCCTCACATCTGCCACAATTACGTACATCGCACAACGAGTAGGTGAGCTTTTCTGTATGATTCGACGTGTTTCCGAGACAAGTGCTTTTGTCTCCCCTTGCAGCGCCTCTTTTAGTAAGAGCCACATCACCTCCCCGGCTCCCCGCGCTGCGTATACATCAAAGCTAGATGTCACTTAACCCCTTCCTTCCCTCGACCTGCGTCATCTATTTGCGAGTTGTTCCACGCCAAGCTCTCTCACTACCCAGGTTTGTGCCTTAAAGGAATAATAAAGAATTTCTTCACTTTCGTGTCTATATAACAAATACCAAGCCTGCCTGCGGGTAGTTACAGTAGTCACATAAGGAAAACAGCAACTTTAAAGCTTCCTGATTAACATGTCACGTACTATGCATCATGCACGGATGCGATATCAACTGTCTTCACACATGCACTGAAGCCTTGAACTTTACCATGCATCACTGAGTGGAAGTGCATGAAAGAGTCCGATGCAGTCCATGTGATGTCTATTTGCACTTATTTGCACTCGTGTGGGAAAAGCAAAGACGCCGCCTGAACCAAATGGAGTATTTCCAGTGAGGAGATGTCTGAAGTGTGCTCCATGTGGAAAAGGACAGCTTCAGACGTTGTCCTCACCTAAATCCCCCGACGCCCGACGAGTTCATGTGTGAAAACGGCTCATTTTTAATGACAGAAACCTGCCAGCAGTCTCCATCACACATTATTCACATCTACATCCAAAAACACGTATGTAATTCTTAATCAGATCATGCTTTGTTGTACTCGCTTACTTATCGGGGTTGAAGCCCTCCAGTTCTTCCAGGAAGATGTTGCTATTGGTAACGGTATTGTCCTGGTTGGGCATGATGAGAAACTTGAGGATGGTCCCTCTGCTTGAGCCGAGGAAGAGCACGGTGCGGTTTCTGTAGGGCCCGGCCTCGGTATCCACCACAATCTTATTCAGCTGGTACCTGAACCGCAGGGGAAACAGAGCGCTGCGTTAATGCCACGGCGCTGTGCAGCTCATTTGGGACTCACTTCCACAAAGTAGCTTCTGGAGGTGAGTTTATGATTTAAGTGCATTACAAATTATTGGTTTAGATGTAAAATACGGCCTGGTGTGAATTTAAATCGTGATATGCCATTTTCACTCGAGTCACTGGAAAATGATATGAATTCCTTAGAGAAGAAGCCGCTCATCAAATTTGCATAATAAACTAATTACGCCAGACGTTTCCGACATTAATAATATTACTCAAGTAAATGGGTTTGTCCTAGGACAATAGCAGAGTGCTGCTGATCCACACAGAGTTCTGTGTGTGTGAGTAAGTAGATGAGAATAGAAGCCATGTTGTGCCGGGTGTTTAATATTCCTCGTGCACCCGGTCCCCATAATCCCCTGGTGGCTATGGGACTCCGTACGGTAGACAGTGGGAGGCGGGGGGCAGGCACCAGTATTTATGTGGGACTTGATGGGCCACAGCTGCTTGCCTGCTACCACAGGCTTCAACAACCAACTTATGTTGGTTGCTGTTCAGCAAAGGGAGGAGTTCATGTAAATATACAGGGTTACAGGCCGTTTCAGATCTCATACACACCGCATCTCCTCTAATTAACTGTTGCGACTTGAACTGTTAAAGCGTAATTAATGTGCACCCCCAGTTTCATTCATTTTCAACTTTGGTTACAAAACAAACAATTGTGAGCATGACAGATTTAATTTGTTTTAGCTGTTACAGCTGAACACGGGAAAAATGAAATATGTCCATATATATTCTATATGTATGGACATATTTCCAACTGGACAGATATAATAAAATGTCTCACCATTATGTTGCAAAGAGATATTCATGCAGTTTGAGTGAATAATATAGTAGTAATGCTCGGACCGTCTCACCTGACCATGGTTCTCACTATCCAGGGTCGTTGTCCCAGTGATGGGACTGCTTCATCCATCAGAGGATGGGTCTTCACAAAATTTAACATCTCATCGGGGAAGGAGTTGGAGGAATTAAACTTGGATCCTTGAACGGCACAACCACCGGGTCTGGGGAAAATAAGATTAAGCATGTTAAGCACAAAGATAGTATTATATAATTAAGCAGTCTAAACAGTCTGAGTGTCTCAAACCATACTGATCTGATTCAGTTAAAAGGACCTGACATATAAAGTAGAAATAAAGTGACAGATATGCACGAGCACAAGACGTAGATTGGAGGGCAACAAGCTTTATCCTTGTGATAAGGGATTTTTCTGCTTCAGTGTGTATCAACAGACTTTTGTCTTTCCTACTTATTTAATCATATAAAAAGCACAACCGTAGCTTTAGTTCACAGGACACATCAGCTGAGGGTTCAGCTGGGACCCTTCCATCTGTTTGGTTGATTCAATTCAATTTAATTTAATTTATATAGCACAAACTCACAACAATAGTCTCCTCGATGCATTTTTTAGTATAAAGTAGACATCCTACATTAAAACTGGGAAATCTTATAAAGGCTGCACAATTTACACCGCCCCCTCCCGCCTCCAGTTCTCTGCAAGCCACTTTGAGACCCAGACATTGAAATCCCAGCTATTCCCCCTTTGATGCTAAGCCTGCTCTGGTCTATGCTTGGGGTTTTTGCTGTCTCCCCATTATAGGCTTTCAGTGTGTGTGAGAGGAAGAAGCTCAGCAGAAAACCACACTGCCATATATATAATTCGCTGCAGATGGAATAACAATCCTCCATTTTTCCCAAAGTGTTCCTGACTGAAAGACCCAGGAGTAAAATTCACTCATGTTACTTTGCATTGTCTATATGCCCTTTGGGGATGAAACCCTACCCACGAACGACAACCTGCAAAACACCTTTTCCAAAGAGTCTTACGGCCAACTCTGACTTCAAAACAAAACTTTACAACGCAGCTTTATTCCCCTGATCATTCTTTGATAACAACTCGAACACAGGTGCACAAATTGATTACCGCCATCTGCACCTTGGTTTTGGGATGACTTCATCTGGAACAGGCGTCCAAATAGACTCTGGTGATTTCTGCTCCTTAAACCTTCCATCAAACACAGCAGCCAGCTGCTCCATGTCAAAGGCGCACACCGCCGAACCTGGAATGCTACAGAGACAGAGACGGGCGATTGATAAAAACACATTGAACTGACACAGAATGGCTCAGTGTCAGCAGGCTGTACGTTCCAACGAGGCTGCGGGAAGAAGAAGTGACGGAAAAGAGAAGATGAGGTAGATTATAGCTCGGCTGAAAAATAGACTGTGAAACTTGAAATAGGAAAAGAGTTAAAATATAGAAAGTCAATTGTGACAAGAGAAAGAGGCAGACACCCGGCAAAGATGACAAATTGGATATGGGCTGTTCATATTTTGACATCCATTACTGGAACACAAAGGAAATCGGTAGTGAGACGAAGAGAAAAGCAGGGTAAGACAGATGCTGTCAACTCTGTGTCCAAAGAATAGATACGCGATGGATGCAACAGCTAGATTAGGCCCGTGAAAAGATCTTGGCTGGAATTCCTGAAATATAAACCAAACAGGAAGTGAGTCACTGAATATTTTCTCTTCACAAAGGGGCAGAAGATTCCCGTAAAGGAAACGAACCCAACAAAATGTTACAGTAAAACGCCTGGTGCACCTCGGAGGTTGTTCAACTACTCGCGGACCCAGCGAAAGGGCGCAGAGCATCTGTTCTGAGAAGCGTTTGTGTCCCACACTCGACACGAGCAAACACACACTGACAAAACCAACAAATACAGACACATTCACACAAAGTCAGACTCACTTCTGAGGCCACGTTTCTGCGCTTCGACTACGGAACAAAGGAGTAAAGAGAGCGGTGTCAGGGTGAGATAAGAAGTGAGTTTTTGAACATGCTTCCTCCTTCCACACTGAAGTCTCTGTGTCCTCATCAATGACTAATGGAGTGCGTGGTGTGAGAACAGTGACTCAGTATTAATACCTTAGAGATACACACACACATTATAAAAACCTGAGACTGAGTCACCTGGAACCTGCTGCTACATAAAACCCACAGAGTCCCCGTCTGTTTATTTCCTCTTCTCACGCTTCCTTCAAAAGTAAATGTCCAGCTGGTGAATGTGAGGGTCTCTGAAGCTTGCCCCCAGGACGCTGCATCAAGCTGAGAGGCGTTTCTGTTGATTGCCCCTTGAAAGCCGCAGCGTTTGTTTGGAACGGCAGCGCCTGAAGGCTGGATTTTGGTTGCGGTAGGGAGCCGCGCTCTCCCGATGTGCCGTTTGATCGGGTCACGCCGTCTCCCTGGGTACTTATCGTTCGTAGGCAGGAATGTGACTCGACCCCGGGCGGCACGGCGGAGCTGCGGGCGTATCTGTGGACGATACGGCGTCTCTCTCGGGGCTGCAGGCACCAGATGTTATGTTTGACACATCTGCCAGCTTTGCATCACCGCCAGCTTGGCTTCCTTTCTCTACCTTCGCCCGCCCCTCCAGCCCCCGGCTCTATGTTTCTCTCTCGCTGCAGGTCACTGGGCTTGGCCCGTGTAGGGCTCGGTGTCTGACAGAAGCAAGCCAAAAAGCCTCGGGCTGTTTATCTCACAGAACTCTCCTAATTATTCTCACTCTTATTTTTATTCTCTTTGTCTCTCCCACTATTTTTTTAAGTCTGTGTGTGTGTTTTCTCACACACAAAATTCATTTCCAATAATTTTCCTAGTTACTCCCTCATACTCGAGACTGCTTTCCCTTTGTTTACATCTCCATCATTCCTTCAGCCTGCTGAAATTTGCCTTCTTTGCTGGTGTTGAGTGGCAGACTGTCAAGGCTTACAAAGACTCGTGTGATGTTTGTCTGAGAGGACTTCTGTGGAGTCTGAAGGGCTTCCTCGCTGTTTAACAAACTCACTGACAGCCTGAAATATTTTCACACCGTCCAAACGGATGCGTGACACCAGGATTTTACAGGACGGAAGGAAAATCTTTTAATTGGTGGTTTAACTCTTACAGAGACTTTGGATATATGCATTTATAGATTTTACATCAGGGTTATAAAATTTCTGTTCCGGTATAAATATAGAAAGATGATTTTGTTCAAAAAAAGGTCGAGAAATAAAATTTGTAACCTGTAGCATTTCTACAGACAGGCTTAAAGCTTTTTTCTGAGGTTTCTGATGAAACTGTGGGCTGTCACTGGGCAAGAGGCTCCCGTAAAGTATGTTGTAAAATGTTATAAAAAAAAAGGTTTACTGGAACATTTTCCACTTCTACCATTTGGATCATTTGTGCCTTTTTGTTATGTCACAGATAACGTTTCTATTTTCCATTTATTATATTTTCCAGCATTCTGTTTATATTTTGCCTTTCAATCTTAGCTTATGTTCGAGTTGCTGTGTATCTTGGTTACTGCAGTATTTAGTTTTATGCGTTTTTGTTCCCGTTTCTGCATTGGTCTCGTTGTCTTTCTTTGTTCGGTTGTGTCTCTCTTCCTGTTTTATTACCTTCCCCACGAGTTGTTTTGTTCGTTATCGTTAGCTGTTCCTACCTGTATCCTCTCCCCTCATTATACCAGGAGTATTTAGTGTCCCCCTGTCCTTCATTGTGTCCTTCGTTGTGTCCTTTGTCGTGTCCTTTGCCGTGTCCTGCCTCTGGGGAGTGTGTTTCCTTGCTCCATGTCTCCCTGAGATTCCTAGTTTGGGGATTGTTTATTCCAGTTCAGCCACAGTTTATATTTTTGTGTTTCTGAATTAGTTGAGCATTAAAGCTCCCCTTTACTTAACGTTTGTCTCACGAGTCCTTCATTTGTGTCCACATCCTGCCCGCCACGCTGCTGAACTTTGACAATTATGTTTTTCATACTTTCTCTTGATCTTTCCCTTTGACGTCCGTGTGGATTTTTCGTTTTCTCTCTAACTTAACCTCCGTGGCCTATTTTGACAAACAAACCTCGCTCTTAAACTCTCGCTGTTTGGGGTGCCGTGGTCGTTCCACGTGCTACCTGTTCCTATCCACTGCCCATTTCTCAAGAAACAGCTAGCTGCCTCATTATGTATTCTGGTGCCTTCTCTGCTTGCAGACCCAGGGGGTCTAGCTTGCACAGCTGTGCATCCTGGCATCGTAAACCCGTTCTCCTCCTGCTCCTTGTCCTCCTCATTTCCCCTCCTCTGCTGTGTTTTCCCACAGGGGCATCCTGCTGTCCGACCCCTGGGATTCTTTACAACCAAACCCAAACATGGCCTCCCGCTCTCAGGATGCAGCAGATTTACTCTGTTTTCCATAAAATATTTTTCTTCCATTCCTGGGCGGTTATAACAAAACTAATGAGCTGTCAGTCTGTTCCAGGAGAAATAGACGTTTTTAGCTGGCAAAACAACGACAAATAAAAATAATGAGAATGGTTTGTTTTCATTACCAGCCCCAGGTAACCCTTCAGTTTGACATCCCGCTGCTCTTTTTTTAAAGATATATCATTTATTATATAAACTAGGAAACACAGCTACCAGAAAGCTCCTACACTTTCTCATAAGTTTGATGTTTCCATGACCTTTTGAGCATCAGGTGTGCAAGGAGGGTGGTCGGTAGGAAGTCTGGACTCCTCTTTCATTCCCGTTGGGAGAGAAATGACCCTGGGCTCCGGCGCTGGATCGACAAAGGAACTGGCAACCTGGGGTGATGTTATGTTCTGGAAACGAAGATGAAATGATCCCACAATGATCCAAAACAGTGGAGCAGCTGTAAAATGACTCCAGGAGTACGTGGCTCACAGGTGGAGATGAGTAACTCCCGAGCGTCCAGGGGAGACAGTAAAACCCTGACTTCATTCCCATGCTACAGTCCAACACTGCACAGGCCAAATAGCAGGAGAGAATGGCTCTTTCCTCCACTCCACTGTTTTCACTGCAAGCTGCCAGCCAAAGCAATTTGTCTGGCAAGCACTTGGCCAGTGTGGCGCAGTGGGCCACACCGGGGCCAGTGGGAGGTTTTTTTAGATCACCTCACACATTCTCTGTATCTCTTTGTGTTTACTTTCCTCTTTATCTGTCCATCTGAACCTCCTTTTCTCTCTGGCTCGGCTGCGGGTTATTTAAAACAGGGCCCAGCGGCAGGTTGCGCAGGCAGGTGTGGGCGTGTGTGTGTTTAGCCGGCGCGCTTCTTCGGTAAACTGTAAATGCTGTTATCTGGGAACCGCTGTGAATGTTTCCGAGTGTGCGAGTTTGTGTGTGCATAAAGCATCCATCTGTCTCTGCAGGCAGTGGCCCCCACTCGCAGCGGTGCCCTTCCAAACACGCAGATAAGATGCAGCTGATGAAACAATTTTAGATGTCAGAGAACGCACGTGTTGTCCGTTATTGACTTCCTCGTCCTTGAGTTTCTCATCCGTCTCTTCTCCTCTTTATCTTTTTTCTCCCTTTTAAATGTACTTGTCTCCTCTGTGCTTGTCCCACCGTGCACCTCCCGCGCCCGCTGCGACAGAGCTCCATTATATTCTAAAAAATAAAGATATTCTTATAATGGGACCACTGATTGATGGCAGATAGGCTGCTGGTGGCATTACAGTGAGAGGTTTGGATTGCTATCGCACCAAAAAGAAGGCGGTTGCGAGCATTTCCAAGTGTGTGCTTTAAAGTGCTCGCTCTAGCAGACACAGCAAATGCCATTGAGGTAGTGTAACATGAGTGGGCCATCACAGAGAAACTATACTGAATCCCGCTCTATAATATGAGCCACTTAGACTGCAATATAGTCATAGACTTTCATCCTTCTGCTGCTCGGAGGACGCAAACATTCAGAGCAATTTAGGCTCAGACTTAGTTCTAAGATGATGCCTTACAATGCCGAGAAAAACAGCATCAAAGTGCTCGGTGAAAGCATCTTCAAACGCAGCATGATAAGCAGATTACTGTAACTGTATGAGGAAAGAGACATGGGATTAAAAAAACACACTGCCAAGGCTCATCGTTTGAGTCAGCTGTGACTTACATTTTCTTTTCTCACTTTTTCTGGGTTACAGTTTGTGTTGTCTTTGGCTCTGCTAATGCCCTCAGCCTGCAGTAATCCCCCACTTACCGGGTAACATCTCTCCTCCTCCCTCCTCCTCTCAGCGTTCTTCAGTTTAATCGTGTCTTTCAACAAATCACCCTTTTGTCCTCCATGAAAGCATTCCATGTGTCTTAGATTACTCTGTACAATCCTGACCTCTGCACCCCAACACAGGCACGTTCGTTTTTCTGGAGCTTGTAGGAAACCTTGCTCTTTGTCTCAGAGTCAGCGAAGATACAAACTATGGTGGTCCACAAAAGAGGCAACTACACACATGTGCATTTCTTTAAAAACACCAACCATGACAGAGACAGAGGACCCCCCCCCCCAGGCCTCATTCACACATTTATTAAACAAAAAAATCTATAAAAAAATAAACAACCCGCAAAAAAATGCACTTAAAGGCAGAAAGGTTTACAGAAGTCAGTCCCTTTGGGGTTCTGCTGCACGTATGATGTAATATAAGCAGTGATTTCACGAAAACAACTCAATGTTGAGTTATATATCACACCTGAACATCCCATACTGAGTTCATACAAAGGCAAAGAAAGAGCAGTGTCATAAAAATGTGAAATGGACAAAGGAGTCTGGGACACAACCGCACTCTGTATATAAAAGATCAACAGTTAGAGTCTTGACTTGAGCATTTGCACCAATTTTGACATTGTTCATGTGTGCAAACCTACTTTATCCTGCTTTTTTACTCTAATGAAGAGCATAATTTTTTAATGAACATTCAGCAAGACTTTAAATACCATAAGCTCACCAAGAAACAAGTACAGCTGGACTTTCTATAACCAGAGGACTCGTGAGGATTCTTTGAGAGAATGGAGGTCTGCGCTGGTCGAATGTACATGCCGCGCTCTTCACATATGAAGGAAAGGCCACGATTCAGGGGTCTTAAGTCTCCCTGTGTGTGAGAGAGTCTCCTGTTTGTGCAGGTACCTGTTGGCTGGTGTGGAGAACACCCCCAGGACGATGTCCCTGCCGTGCATCCTGATGATGGGGCTGGTGGAGTGGAGCAGGTTAAAGTAGAAGTGGGAATCGCCGGGCACGGAGCAGTTCAGACGGGCCTTTAAGAACGACGTCCACTGCTTCTCCAGGACGCGCTGAGACCCGCCTTGATCCCGCTTGCATACCCGGGCAACGCGTGACACCACCACCTGTGAGGAGCCGCGAGCAGAGAATATGATACTTACTATACAGAACGAGCACAGCTTGCTTATATCTCCGATGACTCCAAAGCTGGGCAGTTAATATTTCCTGAGGTTTCATCTTGAAAACTACATATTAAAAAGCTCTTTTTAACTCCAGGGCGATCTCTGAAGAGTCATTTGCATGCTATTTGCAATGTGGAAACCCTTTTTTGACAGATCATTGTTTTATAATGCTAAATCTAATATCAATTATTCATGAAAATGTCAGTGCATCTCAAAATTGCTTCTTTGAACACACAATAGCGATGCTGCTTAAGTATCAATTTACTCTGCTCTCTGTAAACATGTCGCAGCCAGGGGCCTTTTGCAAACACTCCCCAAAAGTGAATTGCTAATTTATTAATGAAACAGGTTTATATTTATTTATTTTTAGTTTTAATAAAGATGCAGCTACTGCTCTGGGGGCAAGAAATATATCAAGTCAGTAGAAAATCGACCAGTTTTTCTTAGGTTAATACAGACAGCTGGTAATAACGTGACTTGTTGCATTAGATATGCACGTAAACAAATACAAAGGTGAAAGGTCATCGCAGTTTTTAACAGAGAGATACTAGACCTGCAGCTCTCTTCATGCTTGCATTCTAATGATAAATTCCCACATTTCTCTCCAGTTCTTTTTAAAAGATGCTGTGAATGGACCTCAAGGTAATGTGAGAGTGCTCAGCAGGGGAGGAGAATATATTTCCTTCGCAATGACTTCTTTACCTTCTCCAGGTAATTGAACTCCATGGCTATCTCTCTGAAGAAGAAGTAGATGTGAGGTCCCCACTCCACGGCACTGACAAAATACGGCTCTGTGTCGTAAGAGAAAGAAACACTCAGAGAAGCAAACAAGAAAGGCGACGTGTGCAGGAGTGGTGCACGGAGAGAACAGGTTTCATGAAGTACAGGCGAGAACGAGTATAACAAAACAGCATTTCCATTTGCAAATGCATCATTAATTCCCACAGCAACCGAGCGACATGGGGGCAGTGAGAAAGAGGCAACAGCCATGCTTAATTTCATTACATGGTGAAAGGGGATTTCACAGCAAACAATAAGCACATTATGACTCCCTCGTGCTTCCGAGGAACGAGGCAGGCGTGCCTGGGACCTTCTAAAACCTGTGTGAGCATTAAGACCAGGGGCTCGGGCAATGTGATTGGCAGGTCCACTCAGTCTGGTGACAGTGTCCACCAATCACACTCTGTATTTTTACTTTGTAGCATAAACACCGCAAGAAGGTTTCTAATAGCACTGGAAATGCAAAGTGTCTTACTCTCGAATATTCGAACTGTAAAATAACTGAAGGATCTTGCGTTTCAACGAATAACAAAAGCCGTAGTCTGTGAAAAAAGCTTTCATGCACTGTGATTGGCCCGCTTGTTTCCAGCAGTCAAAGTCACCAACAAGTGCACGCAGTGTTTTTCAGTCAAACGCGTCACGTCAAAGGAAGCAGACGATGCTGCACACGGCGTTGAAGGGGCATGACGGGCTCAACGGTGGAAGCATTTTACCTGCATGCTCGAATAAACATACACATGTGCCAAATGTAGCGTGTATCTAGGAGCATGGCTGTGAATAATGAATACACAACGAGCTTGTTGCGAACACAGCTACCGTGCCAGCGACGCTGTCATCACAGGTATAATTTATGGTAGATCTGCGGCTTTTTTGACTGACATGTGCATCATGTATTAGATTCATGAGGCACTTTAAATGGTTAAAAACTGAGTATTTTTACAGGTTTAGATTAGGTCTACTAACAGATTCTGCTGTACTATCACAGCAGCATATAAAGTTATTAAAATTAGCTTCCTTTCCCCCTGAGCCAACAAAAATATACAAGGATAAAGTAAAACTTTGAGATCCTGTTGCAGGCCCGGGGGGACAAACGTTTGGTCGGACACTGTGTAATATGGGTGATTCTGTGAAAGAGGCAGCTCTGTGTACAGCTAGCTGCCTGCATGCTGACTCAGACCTGTCCTACCAGCATATGCATCGATCCACGTGCTGCTAAGTAATGTGGACACAAACTCCAGCCATCAGACTCACATTAACATCAACAGCAGGCGTGATGCTGAGCGCGCTGCGCCGACATAACTATGCTTGACGGCACACAAACGAACACGCCCACTCAAAGCGTCCACACACACACACGCACACGTGTCTGCAGATACCTCTGAACCACTTGGAGTCGTGCTTCACGGTGCGCAGAGCAGGACTGTCCCCGAGGCTACGGTAGATCACCGCGTCGATGGCCAGGAAGTCCGTCACTGTGGCCGTAAACAGATTCCCCTCTGATACACACAGACACACATAAAAACAGCTGGTGAGTTGGATCGTCTGCCAAAGCACCATCATAAACAGTGAAGCTGGAGTTAATGTGACCTTTTATGCGCTGCATTATAAACACGATGTGACTGACCACTCAACAATGTAATTGCAACTTTTCTACACGCCCACACAAAAATAACATTCGTTTTTTTTACTACCAGCTAATATCAGATAAGGATCTGAACAGTTTCAGACACACTATTGATTATTAATGAACGAGTTCAAACACAACGGGGTAAACTGAAGCTGAGGAAACGCTGCGGCTCTCTTTTGTTCTGCTCAAGGGACAAAAATATCTTTTGATGACATCGCACACTTCCTCATTGTGTGACAGCACACGCTAAACAAACCATGTCGTACCTGCGACCAGAGCTACGTTGGCGTGTTTGGGATCATAGGGACACCGGGCCATCCCACTGACTGTGTCTCCCAGCATCTCCAGAGTGTCTCCCTGTTAAATCACACACACACAAACACAATTAGATGCATGCATCAATCTGGGTACTCCAAACAATATGAATACATCTACAGCAGCATCATGAAAACAAACCACAAGAGAATGGCAATTAGGGAGTGTTACCATAAGTGCAAACTAATGATTCACTGGAGGCAATTAGGCACAGCGGCAAACAACAAGAGAGTCCCATTTTCATCCATAAATAACACACACACACAGACGCATACACATCTATGCATCCACGTCCACACGTGTACATTTCAATAAAATTGGCAGCTCATGTAATAAAATCTCTGTTATTCTTTCACTATCAATTACACAAACACAAACCGTTTAAAGGTCGCCGCAAGCAACTATTTGAGGAGAGCAGCAGATTTGGAAGACTTCAGCTCTCATCGGCTGTTTGAAATGAAATAATTTATAGGTGTCATTTCATTAAAACCCTGCTTTAAATAAAACAGTAGCTAGCATCACTAACTAGTCCCCAGAGAAAATGTCAGCCTATCAGGCAGAGACAGGTGAGGTATACGCTGTTGTAGAATGTCATTAGCGGCTGACAGATAATGGGGCAAGTACGTCTCAGTGTTCCACTGTTGCACCGTTTTTGAAATGTGAGAGACTGAAAATAACACTTATCTGAGAAAGCCTTTGATAGTGAAAGGATTTTTTTTCCTCTCTCTCTTTCTCCCTCCGACTCCACTGCCTTCGTTCCTCATTTAATATCGCTGCGGAATGATGTGAAATCACCCCAGTCGATGATTAATATTTATGTGCAGGTTTTTTTTTCTTCTTCTGCAAGTTTAAAACGGTTACTGTAATTGAGCGCGACAGGGATAGGCTAAGAAGTGGAGCGCGCTCCCTGCACGGTGGAGGATTCTGGTGACTTGCTGCTTGATGGATGCAAACCTTCAGAATCTGACAAATGTGCTGTGGGACAGTGCTGGAGAAATATTCAGAACACATTTTGGCTAGTAAACGCTTACAGTTCTAGCTCGAACTCTGGCATCTTTTAGATTCCGCCTCCATCTGTGGCATTGCTTTTCTCTCTTTACCGCAACAAGTCACGTCTCAGCAGCCTTACTCTGTGAATACGCTCCTCTCCCTCTTTTCCCCTCTTTGTGTTCTTCTTGATTTTCTGTCTCTGACTCTCAATGATAACAAGCTCGGCAGACCACAAAGTTTAACCGCCGAGAAATAACAACTGTTGTATCTCAGGAAAACGAGGCGCTGGAGCTGCCAGACAACAAGGATAAATAACTCCTGGGGAGGCAGTCGGCACTGACTTAACTGCTTGACAAACAGCTCTAATGAAGCTGTGCGTTCTCACCTGAACAAGTGCACTAATTGATCTATAGGAGGGAGACTCTGTTGTAAAAATAGACATTATTTATCAGCTAAGAGGCGCTCGACCGCTCGCAGGTGGCGGCGTAGGGCGGCTGCGATCACCCGCCTTGGGTTTACTTACAGTGTAGTTGGCACACAGCGGGTTGAAGGCGTTGGTTCCACACAAAAACAAGCCTCCGTTTCTGCTGAGCAGCACTTTGATGAAGTTACGGCATTCATCCTGCACGAGAGAAAGACAGAAATACAGAGAATAGGCTTAATATGCAGGAGGGGTGAGTCTGAGGAACAGATGATGGCGCAAATAGAAAAAAACCCTTTATTTTTCAGACGCTGATTAGCCAAACCGCTCTGTGAAATGAAGCTTTTCAGCTGCCTGATGTGTGGAATTATCACACCATTACTGCTGTCAATCACAGTGATACAGTCTGAACGTAGCCTGCAGAGACTTTAGGCGTCTACCCCCTTCACACATGCATGCACACGTGCACGCATACACACAGCAGTTGATTGACGGAGGGTAATCCAAAGCAGCCTTAGGATTTTAGAACAAGCGGCAGATTTAAGGCTAATTTCTCAATACGTGAAGCGCGTGTAATGAATAAATAACAGCAAGTCGCATTTTCATTCTTTGAACAGTCGTGAGTTCAGCACCACCATGATGGCGGTTTTTGCCCCACAGTCCCAAATACAGATAAATGTTGGTGTCTCCACACATATACTGTGTTGTTACTGTTAGCTTTTTTATTCATTTATACTGTGCTACTAAAAATGTTTCTTCATTTATTGTTAAAGCACGTTATCGATCATCTTTAGCTCATTAGAAGGCATCATTTATTAATTTATTTATTAATATTTTTAGTTTTCAATTTGACCTCATGTACCAGTAAAGTGCATCTATTTGTTTCAGCCATGTCTGTCATGTTAAACATACTGTATATCTATATATCATACCTTATATCTCAACAGCTTATTGATTACTTTAAGCATTCTCGTTTATTCATTTCTGATCGATAACTATTTTAATCACAGATCTGTAACTGTACAGGTTAGCTTATGTGTTAGCTACTGTGCAGACTTCACTCTCTTTCCTGCAGCATTTAGGTGAACGAGCAGCTTTATTTATTTTTTAACTTCCTTTTAATTTAATTACTGGAAACACTTTTCTAATCTTTCTGCTCACCTATCACTAATTCCCGAGTACTTTATTAATTTCCATGTTCTGCTGCTTTCAGCTTCATATTTTGAATGCAATCATTGCACTTCACCCTCCGTACTATTTACTTATTATTTTAGAGATTAATTGCATTATTATAGATCAAGCTACTGAGCAATATATTGGTGATCAAACTCAGTAGCTGCAAAATTAAAGAGATATAAATCAATAATTAGAATCTAATATATAAAATCATATATATGATTTTGAAAAGTGTCATTGCACATAATGAGCACATTTAGTTGAGGTAATTTAGCTATATTTGATTATACCACCCACGCACTATTATGCTACTTAACTAAGATTATTCGTTTATAGGAAAGGATTTTGTTGAAACTCTTTTCACTGCACACAAAACAAATCTGTAAGACGACACAGGGCAGCGCATGAGCCTGAAAGTATGATTTTATGTTCTGATTTCCTGAAGGAATTTTTCCATCCATGGTTGCTAAGCACAAATTTCAGATGTGACCTTTAACTGTAAAAGTCAAAAGGCACTGACAGCAATTTGCACTTGCACAGCCGCCCGAGTACGCAGAGTGAGTGGTCATGTACAGTAGATCACTGATACAGCCAGCAACCCCCAACCCACACCACAGCACACCACTGTCCCAGCCACGATGGCACCAGCTCTGCCACACACACACACACACGCACAGACACACCAGATGGGGTCTACTTCAAGACCACCGCCCACATTAATGTTGATGGAAAGAGGAGCAGAGATTAAATAAAAGTGGTGTGTGTGTGTGTGTATTCATATCTTTGTGGGGACCAAAAATGGTAAGTTTACTATACTTGTGGGGACCAACAATCCTTATGGGGACCAAAATCCTAGTCCCCACGAGTTTGAAGGCATTTTTGAGGCTGAAAATGTGGTTTTAGTGTCAGGGTTCCAGGTGGTTTATGGTTAGGTAAGTTTAGGCTAAGGGTTAGGGTTAGGCATCCATTTTTAATGGTTAGGGTTAAGGTAAGGGGCTAGGGAAAGCATAATGTCAATTAGATGTCCCCACAAGATATGAATACCCAACATATGTGTGTGAAAGAGATCAGAGGGAAAGCAGTGATATGCGAGACGGCTGAGCGTTATTCCAGATGCTCCACCCTCTCCCCCACCTTTCCCCTTCTCTCCCCGCAGGGATCTCGTCTTTCAGCGGGAAGAAAGAAACAGGAAAGCAGGAAGTGTTTCCACGTGAACGGTGTGAGCGCATGAAGTGAGTCGAGCGCAAGGTGCAAATTTCTAATGGTTGCGCCGCTATGTGACAAACAGAAGTGCGACTGTCACAGTACTTGCGGGCGTGTGCGTGTCACTCCCACACACGCAGAGTGTTGCGTGATGCATATAGTTAAGTACACATGTAACGAGTACGTTTGTGTGTGCGTGCATCAGAATCACAGCACAGATGCAGGCTCGTGTGTGAGAATCGTTTGCATGCTGTTTGTCGGTGGGGCTGCAGTCTGTCAGCTTGGTCAGAGCTGTAATCACAAAGCCAGATGAAGCACTCTTAATAACAACCCAGACCCACTGCCAGCATCTCGGAGATGGGACCGAATACTCAGAAGAGCCAAACCGCTGCACAAATGTGTTCACTTGGCAGTGGCTGTTCAGCTAACATTAAGGATTTCATGACTTTAGAATAAAACAAGGTTTATAACATTTTAACTATTCAGTTCTGCACTTTACAGACATCATCCAAACTCATCCTGTGCTGCACACATGCATTTTATTAATCCCCATTCATCTATTCCAGGGAGTCATTTGGCACTCCAGATACGAGTCTTTTTTTATTCAAAGCCCAATTCAGGCAGCAGCAGGATTAAGGTTTTACTGTGGGCTCCACATTAAAATAAAAAAAACAACAAACCTATTATAAAGGATCACGCTGTGAATTAAACAATCATATATAAACCCATGTGCTGTACGGTATGATGCCTCCTCCCCTTTTCTGTGCATCCCCTCTCCCTGGGTAGAATCCAGGCAAAACGCCACCTGTGCTGGCTGGCAAGCCTTCCCGAGACCCAGACGACTGCAGCCCTCCTCCTCCTCTTCCTTCTCCTGCTCCTCTTACTGACAGCGGCAGAGCTGCCTGTGCTCTGAAAAATTAATCTGCAGCACAGATGAGTTACACAGGAGCACACGCCTCGGTGCAAATATGGACGTAATTGTCAATGAAGGGATAAATTTACAGAGGAATGAGAAAAAAAGAGAGTGTGGAAAGCTACCAAGAGATGCTGCACAAGTGTTTGCACATGTTTGCATATGCAAATGTACATTTATATCAACTAGATGCTGGCAGACAGCAGGGTTTAATCAGTTCCTCGCTCTTGAGGCAGATGTTAGCCGGGCTAGCTGTACGCTGCAGACGATGACAGAGCAAGTGCATTTCCCACTGCACAGCTAACCTCTTCCTCAGAGACACAGAAATATGCACATCCACCAGCTTTAAAATAATTGTAAGCAATCACGCACAGAGAATCCACAGCAACACAACAACAAGCACCATTAAAACCGAGGAGGCTCCACCTTCAGCATGTGCTTTTCATCTATTGTCCAGAACTCAGCCCTCAGTCTTCGATGATAACAACCTTTTCACTCGGCATAAACCTCAGCTCAGAGTTTTTTTTCCTAACGATCACTCTTTACTCCAAACTTCAAGAACAAGGTGTTTTACCTCCAGCTACAATAAAGACTCCTATCTTTGCTCGAACCAAAATACAAAACAGGTAAGGGTCGTAAAATATTCTGCTCATTTTCCTGTTTTAGGAGCAACCACAGCAGTTTTCATAGTCCCATAAAATATAATAAGTTATCACGATGACCCGGTTTAGTAATGTTTTGTACAATGGGAGCCATCTAAGGCAGTACATCAGGGGGTCGTATTTAGCAAGCTGCTCCTCTAAATCTCCAAAGTTTCCATTACATGCCTGGCTGGTCCCCTGATGTTAGCAACCAGGGAGAAGAGAGCACTGCTCTGCCAAGAGCCGCCATTGAGCCAGAACTCACCCACACACATATACTGTATACACAATACACTCACACACACACGCACACAAAGCCTTGGCGAACCCTCTTCCCCACTCATTAACAACAGGTCTGTCATTTCCAGAAAAATCCCCGATGCACGATTCTGACTGGAAACAGAGTGACTCTTCGTGGCAGGAACAAAGTGTGTGTATATGTTTGTGTGCATGTGGGCGGAGGATAAATTAACAGCGTTACCAAATTAGCACCACTGTGCTGTTCAGAGTGCTGCGGTCTTACTCAGCATGTTAAAGCTAATCCGCATCCCTCTGAAGCCCTTCTTTAGCGTTTGATGGTAATTCTGACTGAACACACCACAGGCCACAAACAAACAGCACGCACAAGCAGGACGAAGAAGTGAGATGATAGAGATACAAGAATAAATGAGCAGAGAGCGAGCCGAAACGTAGTAAAAACCTACAGCTCGCCGGGTCGTCCGAGCACACACACACACACACACACACACACAGACATTTTTCAATCTTTGACCGTAGCACTTAACCTGGATCACCTTTGCACAGCTCTCCAGCTGCAGACCTGCTGAGTAAACGATCACGTAAACCAGATTAATTCTAATTAAATGTGATTCTGTATGCTGCAAACATCATGAAAACCAAAGGCACCACGAACCCTTCTTTTCTTCATATTCACAGTCTTTGACCCTAAAAAGTCCTACGTTTGGTGATGAGCTCGAGTGCAGTCCACAGCAGCGTGTGGGGCCTGGGACGCTGAGTACAATCAAAATACACAGAAACACGAGACACTGGCCAGTTGGGGAAAAAAAGATGACGATGACTCCACCTGGAGCGTTTTAAGCTGAGAAAAAGCAATAAAACCACAGCTTGTGATGATTCTACACAGAAACAGTCGGACGACTGCAAACCCAGAGCTCCTCTGAGAGCACGATTAACACAATATTGATCAAACAATCTTGCTAAGTGCTGCTTATAATGATGCCTGGCCGCTCTTTAAGCATCTACTATAT